CCCCACTTGTGCCCACCAACAACTTTTCCCCAGTCAGCGAGACGACCCCATTGTCCACAACCCCCGGACCGCATTACCCATCTTAGACGCGGCTGTACCCATTTCACACGTGGCTCTCAGTTCTTCGACCAGCGAAAACAGAGACGATTGTCGTCCAACACGAAAAAGCAACAAAAAATTTAACAACTACAATGCTTTGCAGCCGTGTGGACACGCAGTCACACACACACACGCACACACGAGGGCAGAAACGAGACGGGGAACGTCTAGCTAGACACCACACTCCTCACGATCTATCGCGGATTGCTTTCTCTATCTCCAGAAGGGCGTTACACATCATCGTGTTCGCCGCATCCGCTGCAGCATTATGTCCCCTCTGCAGCTCCAGTTCGCTCTTAAGGACCTGGCACTGTCGTAACATCATGGAGCATTGCCGCTTGCTCGCATTGTCCATCGTCGTCGCCATAAGCGTTCCATGGTCCTCCATCACGTCGGTGACTACCTCAAACGTTTGTTGTCTCATATTCTTCCTCTTCCCCGTTGCGGCGCCGCTCCCGCCGCTGAATCTAGAATCTTTCGTCGACCCCTGGTCTTCGTCGACAGGCTCCCCTCCCCCCTCACTGCCGATGTCATCCCCTACAGCCCCCGCTCCTGCCGGCATCTGCACCCCCCCCGGCGCCCCCGTGTCCGCCAAATTCTTCGGGTGGATAGTGTGATCCCCCTTCGTCATCGCCTCCATCTCGTTGAAAACGCTCCGGTCCATGACGAAGCTGAAACCCTCCGATCTCCTCGCCGAAGAGGCAAGCTTGAAATAGTCCTTCCCGCCGGAGAGGTTTTGGTACTTGTGAACCTTCTTGAACTGCTGCATCAAGTTGTCCCACTTCTTGCCGCAGTCGACGACCTTCCGCTGGACGCCCAACTTTACCAACCTCTGCCGAACGTCCTCCCACCTCCATTCCCTAGTCTTCATGCCCCCGAAATTGTGGCCCATACTCGCAAAATACAGGTCTTGATCCCTTTTCGCCCGGACGAGTGCGACCGTGTCTCCTACCGACCAGAAATTGTGACCGCCCTCGCCATCGCTCCCGCCAGTGTCGTCGTCCCTCCTCTTATTCCTCTGATTTGACGGAGTGGAACCTTTCTTCGCACTCGCACCGCCGCCTCTGGCCTTCCTCCCAAGTGGACGAACATCAGGCAATTCGTCGGAGTTGCAGTCTTCTTCATCATCAACGTCGTCACAGTTGAATGGTTCCTCAGCAGCCGCATCACCGCCTTCGTCCACGTGGAGCTCTTGCACCCCTCTCGTTATGGTGTCAACTCCTGCTTGACGCAACGCCTGCCTCGCATCCGCCCACGACTGCCTACCGTGTCGCTCCACTTGCGCACCCGACGCGGAACCGTCGTCCTCTCGTTGTCGTCCGGGTGGAGTCCCTGGACCACTTCGTGAGGCAGGTGACAGTCGGATCCAATCCGGACGCTGGGGGACATCGCCTCGTCCTCCGCCCTGCATCGACGCCACATTTCTATTCCCGCCGCCCCCGGATGCTTGCGAGAGGTTATCTCCTCCTGCAGGGAGCTGCCGACGACTGCTCCGCCCAACCTCCATCTGGGTACGGATCGACGATTCGAGTGTGTGTCGCCGCTGCTCCGCTGCTGCTCGACAACTGGAAGCTAAGATCGACTGGTGCATTGCCTTCATCTTCGCACAGGCCGTCATTTAGCAGTGACGTGTAAGACCAGGTCGCCTCCGCTCGCCTGGCACTGTACGACTGCGTTGCCGCCCAATGCTGCGTGGAGCCACTTCCCAACGGCACAGTCGGCGACCTCAGCTCTTCCCCCTCGTCATCCGACGGCGGTAGAGGAATCTCATGCGAAGGCAAGTGAGCATACAACGTCGGGTCGTACGCTTGCTTCACCACACACCCTGCACTGCTTCGGCGATTGCTCGATCTTCCTGACGTGCCGGCGGCCCTGCCGTTGGTCAGTCGTTGATCCATCCTCTCACCTTTCCTCGAAGACCTCTCCTTCCTGGTGGGAACAGGGAGCCGCCCGAGAAAACATACTTGGAAGACGACAACGATGACAAGCAGCACAACGACGAGGAGTAGCCGGGGCAGCCGGTGCAGCAGGTCGGCCATGTGAGGGGGGGGGGGGGGGGGGGGGGGGGGGGGGGGGGGGGGGGGGGGGGGGGGGGGGGGGGGGGGGTGACGGAAAGGGCATGCACTCCACGGCAGTGGTGCACCACCCTGTGAAGAACGTCGTCGACAGAAGAAAAAATGAGGCTTGCTGCACGACCACGCACGCGCACGGAGTGACGACAAGCGACGAAAACGACGAGCTGCAAGAAAAAGCTGCTGGCGGCGAGCATGTGGTTGATGCGCATGGCGGGAGACAATTCGCGCAGCCACTACGAAGCTTTCTACTTCGCAAAGTTGGTGGCTAAGCCCACGCTCGTCGCGTCCATGCATCGCGCCTTCGAGCATCGCAAGAAGGTCCTCCGCGCTGTGAACGTCGTGACGGAAAGGCTCGGGAAGGCGAACGCCACCCTCCGCGAGTATCCAAAGTACATCCCAGATTGGGCGGACTGCGGCATCAGTTTCGGCCACTACACCACCATAACAGGGCCGGACGAAGCGAAGAAGCTAGACTGGTTGGGTTCTGGCCCCCCCAACGACGACGACGACGATGCTGATGGGAAGAAGGAGACGTAGGGGCGGGTTGGGGGGTTGGGGGGTTGGGGTGGTTGGGGATGGTCGATTGGGTTGGTGATATACACTGGCGGCGGATGATGCTTGACGGCGCTTGTACACGTGGCCTCAGTGATGTCATTGTCCGCGCTTGGAGGCGAGGCGCAGTGTGTTGGTGATTTGTCTGTCCTTCGGTCGGATTCGCCAGGGTCGACCCGTCGGTGTGCAGACGTGTAGTTTTTCGGTCAGTGTAGTGGATGACGGGTTGTACGATTCTCGTCCATGCATCGTGTTGTTTATGTAGCTGTGAGTCCTTTGTTGGACGTCGGTGGGGCGGGTAATTGATTACCACGCTGTATTCAAGTTTTTTTTTAAACGCATGTTTCGTTCGGTTTTACTTATTCGCGCTTTCAACTTTCTTTCATTTTTTTTCGTGATCCTAATTGCTTGTTTGTTTGTTTCTGCTCCGATGGGTGTTTGATGATTGCGTTCAATGCATGCACATGTTATCAGTTTTTCTTTTTTGGTTTATTTGTATTCAATGTGAACTTTTGTAAATGCATCGTTGGGATTGCTTTCAACGACCACATGTCATGCACGCATGAAACAAGGTAGGAAGAATAGACACACAATATCCACGACAACGCAACAGACGGCAACACTTGTTGTCAGCATTCGACCCCACGTCACAACCAATTCCAATGCATGCACACCTCATCACTTTTTCGACATCCATTTCGAAGATTACGGAATCCTGAGATGACAAGTACACAGCAAAAAAAGGACTCACATGTCATTAACGAACACATGAAACATTGAGGGCAGTGCCATAAACCGGCAACCCCCCGTCCCCCCCCACAACCCTCGCCACCCGCTGCCATCAACCCCCACCTTGCCCCCCTCCCCACCCCCCCTAGACCACGAGATTGCTTCCACTGCCTCGCCAAATTCTAACAAAAACGGCGCACGCACTACCCGCAATGCACTGCACGACCTAAACACAACGCAGACGCCACTGCTGCCTTGTCTAAACTCTATATGCATTACACGAAACCCGCAACGTCGACGCCTAGGGATGACAACCATCAACGACGACGATGACCCCCGGCCTGCAGTTAGACACCCCGCAGAAGGCGGAACAAAACGAAGTCTCCACCCTCTTGCCATCGCTGCGACGAACACAATGCCACTCCTTGCCGTGCTGAGTCGCAACAGGACTCAGAGCTGTTTCATTCGCTCCGACAGAGCAGTGCGCAGGGCCAACGCTTCGTCGGCCGTAGTTAAGCATCGACACGGGCTGCAGGGGCTCTTCCATCCCCAGGTCCACACGTCTTCGCACACCATTAGCGTCGACCTCCCATAGCAGGTTCTCGTCGAATGGAATCCCGGCGTCGATAAGTATGTTGTGCAGTATACAGACGGCGGTGAACTGCTGCGGGAGAGTGTCCAGGTTCGTCTTGTGTGATCGCAGAAACAGACGCCACATGCCCTTTAGCCTGCCGAACGCTCGCTCCACCGCTCCCCTCGCCACCTTCTGCTTGTTGTCGAAACGCTCGTCGTCGACGTGCTGATTGATGCCTCCATAGGGGACCACCATCCATTCAGATGGGGGGTAACTGTTGTCCGCCAGGACGTAGCCGTTCGTGCGCACACCAAAAGGGAGTGTCACAGGCGGACCACGGAACAACTCCCCTGACTCCGCGCACTGCCAGAGGCTGGACAGCTGGAGCACCCTGATGTCGTGGCAGCTCCCCGGGTATCCGCAGTGCACGTCGACGACAACCTGCGCGACGATGGAGAAACGGCGCTTCTTGTCGTAATAGTTCTCGCTCGGGGCGTTCGCCGGCTTGTCGACGAAGATATGAGTACAGTCGATGCAACCGTGGCAATTGGGGAATCCTTTATCAGCGAACGCCCGCAGGACGAGGAGCTTGCGAAGTCCACTCGGCCAGGCAATCTTATCTGCGTACACCCGGAGCAGCACGGCAGTGACGTCGCGCACGGCGACGAGGCCAGAGGCTCTGCCAACCCCGAAGTTGCACGTGCCGCTCTCGTATGTCTCACCCGACGCCCACCTGTACAATGTGTATGCGACAATCTGGTCAGGCTGCAGAGGCTCCCTGTAAAACGTCACCCGCCGCTGAAGATGAGGCGCACATGCCTCCGTGATCTCCTGGAACACTCGTGGCGACATTCGTAGCTTTTCCCAGAAGTAGTCGTCCGTCGTGTCGTCGCATTGGCGGAGGTCTTCCCACGTGCCTCCGGTCCTGCGCTTTATCCACCACCGCGGCGTCTCTCTCGGCATCACTCCGCACCCCGACACGTACCATAGCTGAAGAACACTCTGCGACGTCGCCACCTACTCCGGACCAATGCTGTCTTGAAGCCTCATGACCACCCTCCTTCTACGTGCGCGCAACTCCCCCCTCAGTCGTCCAAGCGCCCGTT